GCATCGTTATGTTGGTTAGTCAGTGGACTGAGTGCTAATACCTCTTGACATGGAACATATGTGGAAGCTGCACGTGCTCATGGAAGAGGCGTTGGGAGAGGGCCTCGTAGGGCTGACACTTGGAAGTAAATATAGAAGGTGATGTCTGTGCACTCCTGCTGGATGTGCCATTCTCCTTAATCCCCTCTGAAGGGAGCGTGGCTTTTTGTTTTGTTATGTTGTAGAATTGTCACTAGCTTAATGGGAGTGGCCACAGAAAACATACTGCCATCTCCTCCCATCAGCATTGGGTGATTCCCAAGGTCCATTAATGGGCATCAGGGTGGCATAATGAGTGGGAGCAAAGCCCTTGTGCTAAGATAACATGGATCCACTTCTCAAACTGCCAGTTACTACTGTGCAACTTTGGTCACCAGTACTTAAGTTTTCTGTGTCCCAACAGTTTTCTGTGTCATCTGTCTGATGGAGATAACTCTTACTCTCTAGTGGGGACATTCAGTGGGTTAGTGTTTGTAAGGTGGTTGGTGGGTGTTTGATCACACATTATGCTTGTTACATGTTACGTCATGTGGTCCTGCTGTTCATCTGGCCTGTCCATCTCAGCCCTTCTCTCTCCTTTTGCTTTTAAGACCTTCAAAAGAGGCTCTTTGGGAGGTGGGTCTGGGAGCAGGTGGCCCCAAAAGATGGCTGGATTTGCTTCTGGGGGAAATATTTATGAGCACAAGATGCCCTCAACCCCCAACTCACTGGATCCAACAAGAGATCAAGCTGAAGGTCTAGTTGGGATGTCAAAGTTTTGGCTTTGAATACCAGGCAGCCTTTCAAATGAGGCAACCTGGTGCATCTCATCTTGCATGAGGGTTGCTGCTGTCTCTGCTTCATCACTGTCCCCTGATCTGCCCAGGGTAGAGTGAGAATTCAGAGGAGCCACGCATACTGCTCCCAAGTCAGCATGTGGTTAATGATCGCTGAAGGTTGAAATGCTGCTTCGTGTGTGTGTGTGTGAGCCCCTCAGTGAAGAACCTTCCACTTTGTGCCAATGGCAGTTTGGTGAGCATCCCAAAAAGCATCCCATCTCCAACAACTTGGTGCCAAGTCCTTCCTAAGAGTTGGCAGGATTCCTGATGGCTCCAGACAACCAAACGGCGAGCAGTCTTCCTGACCCAACCAGACCTCTGCCCACCTGGTGCATTCCATGCCCAGGTGCATTCCAAAGCTAGCAAAAATAACCACTCCCAGAGACCAGGAACATGCTTCACTGGGCATGGAAGAAAGAGTATGGATTCTCTGTGGTGGATAAAAGCTGAGGTCTGGAGTCAGGCTGGTATGTTTCACTTACTGCTTGGTCAAATCTGCCACCACTCGGACCCTCAGTTTCCACACCAGCAAAATGAGGACAATCTTAGTGCTGCTGTGAGGCTGAAATAAAATACTGCGTGGAAAGTGCTTTGGAAAACGCTTGGCACAGGGCTGCACAGAGCCGTGGTCCCTAGAGATGTCACTGCGTTATTAGTATCATTTCAGCAGCTGCACTGCTGTTGTTCCTCAAAGGGAGATGAAATAGGACAGACCCAGCAGCCTTGAGGGGAAAAAGAGGGAAAACCGATCTCTCCAGGGAAAGAGACAGAAGGCCTGTCTTCAGGAGTTCTTATGGAAATGCTGAACCCCATTACAAATAGTTGTTTACTCTCTGTTTGCTCCACACATGTTTTTTCAATTCCCCTCCAACTCTTGTCCATGTACCAGGTAGCTCAGGGATCCTTTCGTGGAAGACAGATGGAGTTGAGTAGCTGCCAGCCTTCCTCCCAAAGGAGAGAGGACAGAAGGACGGGCTGTTAGATCTTGCCGGTGCTAGGGATCAGTGAGGCTGTCCTCAGCATCTAAATCGGGATAAGCAGCTTAATTTTATCTCTTCCTGCACCTACGTGTCTTGCCTTAGGGAGCCAAGCATCCTGGGAGGGAGGGAGTGACCAAGAGACTGTGCCCTTTTGTATTTCCGCTTGCTCCCTGCTTCATGCACTCTGCGCCTCATGCTGTCTTTGCCTAGTAATTCCGCCAGCCTGGGGTGTTTTGATGCCTTCCATCTTTGAGATAACACCCCATGCTAAGACATCTAGAAGTAGTAGGGAACAAGGAAAAGCATTTGGATCAGAAAAAGAAGCCTCAGTAGTTCTGATGAGTGAGGAGGGTTGCCCCCAGGAGCATGCAGATTGGCTACCCTTTCAAGGCAGGTCAGAGTCACCACTGCTCTCTCCTTGGGGGCTCCCTCTTTGTCCAGGGTCTAGCATTCCCCAGAACTGCAGCTGGGCTCTTTAATCTGCACTAGGGTCTCAGGTATGAGTGCCCACTCAGGCAAGACAGGCGAAGAAGCTGGTGAAAGGCATCGCTAGGGAAGAGTGAGGACTGTGGCAAACAGGGAGCATGGGTCCTATCGAAAGGGGACAGCCACCCCATAGCTGCCTCCAGTGGACTCCATGTTGCTAGAATTTCTGAAATTTTTTTTTCAAGAGGAAATAGAAATCTGGGGTGTGTGTGTGTGTGTGAGAGAGAGAGAGAGGGAGAGAGAGGGAGGGAGGCAGGGAGAGGGAGAGAAATTTCCCAATTTTAAAACACTGAGAGGGTGAATGAACAGATTTGCATGTGGGATGTCACAATATATTGCAGGGAAGATTCTTTCTTCAGGGCATCAGATTGGTACCTCTGACTTGGTCTCTTTACTGAATTGTTCAGTATTTCCTAGCAAAGGGATCCCCTCTTAAGGCCCTGAATATCAAGGTTTGGAATAAATCATTTACCATGCACTTTATTTTCCTTTGTAAACAAGCACACCAAACACCCGTGTGTGAAGGGTCCATTCCTGCCCCATGGGTGCTTAGCCCTGCTAGGTCCCTCCGGCTTTTCTCCCTGTTTCTTTGCTCCTTGGTGTCCTCCTTGGAATGTCCCCAGAATGGATTGACCTTGACTAAAATGCAATCTATAAAGCACAGGACATCCTTGGGGGGGAATGCCACCGGGGGATAGACAGATGGGTGGGGTATATAAGGTGTTCGTAAAGAAAAAAGTGCACCCTCCAGAGACATCAGTTCTCGTAACTACCTCCAGCATGTTCCCTGGAAACGCATGCAACCTTGACCAAGCCACCACATTCTCAGCCTCAGTTCTGTCACCTAAACTTGGGAGGCTGGCTGTACCCATCTGCCTAGGTTACCGTGAGAACAATTGGATGTCAGGAAAGCACTTTGGAAAACAACAAGAGTATTCTAGCTTTTCTCTACTGCAAGGCAGGAGGACATCTGTGTGAACCCTTGGGACCCTGCCCATTATTAGCCAGATTAAACACGCAGCTCTTGTACTTGTCACTGCCACAGCTGCCTGCCTGCACGCAGGCTGCAGGGACCCCACTGGGAGGACGGGCTTCCAGCAAGGGAGAGGTGCTATAGAAGGCTGAGCTCCCAGGGGCAACCCCCCATCACCAACTCAAGTCCCCTAGACCCTGGCATCAGAGCCTGTGGAGGCCAGCCCGTTACGAGTCTCCTGGGCCACTCTTCACGAGAGAAGCTCTGAGCCAGCCTTGAAAGAGAAATGTTAAAAATTTAACATTTTTATTGGTTCGTCTAGTTCTCCTCTCCCCTACGTTTATTAACGAGGGAATGAGAAATGATTTTATACTAGTTAAGAGGGTACAAACAGTTGGTCTAGGATCATAAAGGAAATTCTCAGGACTCAGATTTGCTTGACTTGCCAGCCCCATGCTGGAGAACTCTTCTATAACCCTCATGGCATCACCTACGCTGGACCAGAGTTTCACCTGAAAGGCAGCTTCTTTTGATGCTTTTTTTTTTTTTTTTTTTTTTTTTTTTTTTTGGTGGAGGGAGGGGTATGCAGATCTAAAACCAGGGAAGACAGGTGCCACCTTAGAGTGTGGTCCCCTGGAGTTGTGTACGGGGTTGGGTATATTTCATAATAAATGCTTGTTGCTGAGCACCAAGAATAAAGGGAATGAAAGTGATGTCATCTGTGACATCAGGGCTTACAGTCATCATAGGTGGGAGGCCAGTGGTAAACAAGGACAAACACCCTGTGATCACAAATGGAGAGAAGTACTATGAAGAAAATAAACTGGAGCTAGGAGAGACAGTCATGGGGGGCTGGGGGTCTTGCTATAGGTGAGGGGATCAGGGCAGGCCTTTCTAGGGAGGTGACATTTAAGCTGATATGTGGGGGAGGAGAAGGAACCACCTTATGAAAGGTGGTAAAGAACGTGTTCAAAGGACCTGGGCCAAAATGCTTATGGGGGCGTTTGAGGAACGAAGTGTAGTGAGCAGGGATGCGTGGAGGAGGGGAAAGGGGTAGAGCTTGGGTCACACGGGGCTCCATCCATGTTGCGTGTGTGGGAGCACGTGCATGTGTGTCAGAGACAGAGAATGTGTATGTGCACACACCCATGCTTGCCCGTGGATGTATCTTTTCCCGGGAGGATTGGATGACCTATAACTTCCATCACATTTCCAATGGGATCAGTGATTTCACAGAACTCTAAGAAGACTTCTGAATCAAAATTGCCCTTCGTCAGTCAACTAAAGCTTTGAAACAGTTGTGCCAAATGAATTTTTTCCCCCCATTCCTGGAAGCTCTGTGTTCTAAAGCAGAAAGTCAAGCATGTGTGCTGCCATTTCCAGGCTTCCTCTGAAGGCCTGGGTACCAGGGCAGGCTGCGGGGGATTTCAGTATGTGGCCCAGTATCCTCGGTAGCTGGTGTACAAGTGCCTGGACATGTTTGGAGTTTCGGTGGCCGCGGGAATGCAAGAACC